CGTTCATCTGAGGAAGAGAAAACAGGGCCTTGGTACACCAATATTTAAATAAAACATGACATCAGCAGTGATCAGCCATAACGTTAATGGAACGCAGTGTAATGGGAAATCGTTGGTGCTTTATTCGTATGGTTGTTATTGTGACAAATATTAGTAACTCGATTAGCTTTTAGCACTCACTAGCCACCCTAAACATTGCTGTGGACTAAATAACCTGTGCACACCCACAGCACTCTGGCAGGAGCGAGACACTGTGCCCCACCAGGCCACAGAAGAAAGATAATAGCCCCAGGCACTGACCTAGCTTCCCAAACATGATCCCAATCAGTATCCACAGGAGGCACCAGGATTATTCTGATCCACGAGGCCCCACCCTGCAAGCACAAGGACGCAAAAGATCCACGTCCAATGCTTTGGTGCTTTTAACTGCAGAACAAGTGACCTGCGTCTGTGTCACGTCAGAGCGGGATAGAGATTGATACGATATGAGGCAGCTGGTTTTTAATGTCGTAAATCTCAGAAGAATGCAGAATATTGAGGTATTTAGTAATTAAATGTCCATACTCTGTTTTATAGATAGACAGTTTACATGAAACCCAACTGAACAGTGCTGGAGAAGGAACGTTTTTATAATAATAATAAATTTGATACTAAAACACTAAATGATTGGGCAATCAAATGACACGAAGCCAAGAACCTACCTGGAAAATTCCCTAAGAATGAAGTCAAGGAAGCAGGAGACCAACGATGGTCCTCTTTTGTTTTCTTTTCAAAGGTGGCCTGTATACACACTTATTTAAGTAAAACCCACCAGGGTAAGACCGTACCTTGAGATGTGTATTTATCATTGAGCTCGCTCGCTGAGTTTGTCTGTGAATCCCAGCTGTCCTGCATCCTCGTTTAGACTCTTGGCACATGATCCATGATGGAGATAGAAAGTGAGAATAAGTCCAAATGTCAGCAATCAGAGGCACGCCACGGTTTCCTTAAACACTAATGTTGAAGGCAAAAGAGAGGCGGTATATCTTGCCCCAACACGCTGAAACCTCCCTCTGACGCGTCCTCGCACCACTCCCCCGAGCACAGCGTGAACCCGACTGCAAGTCTGTGGTTTATGAAATGCTGTATGTAGTGGAGGTCACTGCATGTCCAGGGGTCTGTTTGCATGTAAGAACTCGCTGTGGTTTCTGTTTTCACGTATAGACGTCCAGAAGATCTCATGAGTGAATGAGTCATTAAAGTATTTCTTCATAGCTCACCTGGCTCAGGTTAAAGGTACGAACAGAGGGAGCCAAGGTTCCTGTGATGTATTAATCAGTTAAAGAAAGAAAAACAGAAAATTACAAATCTTTTTAGAGAGATTTGACAAAGTGTTGGTCAAGTTTGAGAGCACTGGAAGTTACCTCTAACATTTCCTGCAGCAATGTGTTTGATCTTTCTTTTATCTTGCAAAATTACTACATTCCAGAAACAGGTCGAGTCTCACAGGAAACATTCATTTCCAAAAACCCAAAACTAAGACAGAAACAAATAAAAATTAAGCTAAAAAATATTTATCACAGAAATACAAAACTATAATAACTTTGTTCAACAAGCAGTTAATTCTTTATAATCAAATAATTGATCCCTGTTTTCTGGGACACCCTGGTGTTTTCTTTCACAGTGAAGATGATCTAAATATTGTAGCTGTTTCCTCGTCGGTATAACACGACGTGTTCTTTGTGCCCTCTGCTGATACTTTTTAATCATAGAAATAGTTTAGTTTTGGTTTGTTTAAGGTGTGTAGTTAAACGCGTCCCACCCGGTAAAGAAACTGTGTTGATCCGTCCACAGACCTGACATAACACAGCATGTTGAAAGAGTAGGTTTGTCTGTGCAGTCCTCCCTTCTCAGGTTTATTCAGGCCCAGCGATGTGGACCCCAGCCCATAATCCTCCTGCAGACACACCTGTAGAGGAGAGTATAAAGACCCGCGACTCAACTGTGTCAGACACGAAGCTCCGAGGAGTCTCTCCACAGCAGCTCTGCAAAGAAGCTCCACAGCTACCAGACCCACTCTGAAGATGAGTCCCTCTGTCAGCCTGCTGCTGCTGCTCGGCCTCTCTCAGGCTCATCCTCTCATGGAGGAAAGAGGAGGAGGAGAG